CTTATACTCCTGCAATCTGCGACAACTACTGCTTCTTCTACAACTGCAACTGTTACTGCTGATATCTCTACACCTCCTCACAGTGCCTCCCTTTCCTTTTACTACCTATATTTTACTACTTCAGCTTGTACTCCAGTACTGCGTTGTCCAGCTGTAAAGGGAGTGTAAGTACTGGGTAGTACTGTAGTTAATTAGCTGTCTAAACATTTGGTGTTAGCTCTCATAGACTTTTGTCCACCTGTTAATCCTAATGGCATCTTCAGCTCATTGACACCACAGTGTGAGTTCCACCAGGAAACACACACACACACACACACACACACACACACACACACACACACACACACACTTGGTGCACACACAAAGTACAGATACCTTCCTTTATAATGTGTAACTATATAAAGGAGGTAAATATGATGTACATGTTTGCGTGCATGTGTGTCTTTCCAGAGCTGTTGCCCGCACGGCTGCCTGCTTAAGGAGCCGGTGAGCAGGTGAGATAAAGATGGAATTTGACTTCGGGAAGGGGGAGGGAGGGGAGACAGAGGGATGGGGGAGAAAAAAGGAGAATGAGCGAGAGAGATAAAGACGGTGGTAGAGTTGGAAAAAGAGGAGGATGGAGGTACACTGGAAAGCAGTCTGAGAAAGAAAAAGTGAAAGAAAAAGACCTAAAAGGAGTACAAATGGCTCAAAAACTTTAAGGCGCTTTTATGAATAACTAGGCTAAAATATCAGTCCACATACACTGCGGTAATAATATAAAAGGTCAACAGTAAGGCATGCAATTGTTTAATGAACTTACTGATAATATGGATACGTAATAAATAAATGTAAATCTCTAAAGATCTCAAGAATACATGCAGTGCAAGACAGAAAATTAAATGAACGTAAGGTAAAATTCACATATAATTTCCTAAAAGCCAAGGTGACATCTTCAAATTGCTTTTTATCGGACCAGTTCAGAAAATAAAATAAAATCTATCTTTAAACTCCATAAAGCTCTAAACTACTGTTACGACTACGACTTTTCCCACAACTTGTCTTCTCAGGACTTCATATCACCATCACTACCGCATTCCGATTCACCATATTCCTAATCTAATACTTACAACAACAACTGCAATGGTTAGTTGCTGAAAAATTAATTCCCAACAGTTTTTGTCATTTATTAATCATTTTTCAAACAGAAACACCAATTATTCTCTTGTTTAACCATCTAAAATGTGATAATTATTAATTATGTGTGAGAGTAAACCTGAACATGTTTGGATTTTAGATGGTTGCATTATTTTTTGGCATAAAATTGTGAATACTCCTCAACTGGCCTGAATTCTTACAATTTAACCACTTTAATGTGAAAAACTGCACTGCAAGATCTCCCAAATATTGCAAGGATTGGTTGATTTTTTTTTTTTTTGTTAAATATTGCCAGGAACAAATTCTTCTGTGTTTTCGCGCTCAGGGAGAGAAGGTGAGAGCATTATATGGATGAAGAGGAAAGAAAAGAAACACAAGAGACAAAGACGAGAGAAAAAAGCGAAGGATTTGGTTGAAAAACAACCTCTTCTTCCTCTTTCACTGGAAGCTGCAGCTCTGCAGCGCTAGCTAACTTATCTCTGCATTCAGAGGATGTTATGGCTAACTAAACCCCCTCACCACACACACACACACACACACACACACACACACACACACACACACACACATACACACCCAGACACAGCACACTCCACCTGGGATGTGGGTCACGTGAAAGGTGAGCAAACCTGTGAGGCAGTGGGTGGTTGTCCAATTGTGTGTGTTTGTGTGTGTGTGTGTGTGTGTGTGTGTGTGTGTGTGTGTGTGTGTGTGTGTGTGTGGTTGTGTGTGTGTTCATGTGCACAGGGAAGGACGCATCAAATTAAATGTGTGTTTGTGGTTGCGCGGCATGACAGGTTCAAAGGAAAACCTCCAGGTATACATTACCGCTGAACTCCCTCACCTGGATGAATGGAGATTCAAATCTGGACGAGGATTAATACTGCACACACACACACACACACACACACACACACACACACACACACACACACAAACACAACCAAATAACTATGAAACAGTGATGTATGAGACTATTTATAACAGGTTAATGATTACAAACTCAATGGCAAAGCCCCTGTGTGTGTATAAGGAGACTGATTTAGGTGTTTATTTTGAATTATAGTGCTGATTCAGCTCCTTATTGTCACCATGCTGTGAAAACCACGTATCTCCAAATGGCAACTTCACATGATCTATATGGAAAAAAGCAGCAAAATGTGTTTTTGAAGTCATCAAGTGGATTTTAAGGGATTTTTGTGCGAACCTTTTAAACATAAGTGGCCTAAATGAAAATGTAACACTTCATTTACACTTAATAGTTCACCATGTTTGGAGATACGTGGTTATTAGTGAACAGTGATGATAAAGGCAGGCTGAATTCCAGTGGAAATATCTGGAGTTTTGGGGTCATATACACAGACTCCACTAGGGGGACCCAGTGAGAACAGGAGAGAGAGAGAGAGAGAGAGAGAGAGAGAGAGAGAGAGAGAAAGTGAGGCAATGACAACACCTGCATCACCCCTCCCACTGTATCGTTCACTAAAGGTCCACTTACTTGCTTTTTCCGGAGCTTTTCCTCCACATCTCACAGCCCGGAGGAAACTACAGACTACTGATGAAGGCTGCGAGATGTGGCTGAAAGCTGTGTGTGTTTTATGAGCTTTAGCTTGATGAGGTTTTTTTTGCCCTCCTCTTCCTCCTCATCCTCTCCGAGAGGGCGGGGTCAGCCACATTCCTAGCTACAAAGTGGACCCCCTCACCCCCGCCCTTCCCTCCACCTTTGACTTAACATCTCCATGGCAACAATAACAGCTCAACAAGTCACGCCTGAAACACCTAACCTACACCTACAAACATGCCTTCACCAGATAACCTCTATATTTGATCTTTTACGTGACTGCTTTAACGTGGCAGGAGTCACGAGGAAGGACAACAAGAATTTAGTCTTATTCCACAACTTTAACTCGTCAAATAATGGCTGTATATTAATCTAAGGATTTGTGTATCAGCTGATTGAAATAACTGCATGCATGGTGGTATATATTCTCCTAAAAGAGCATATTTAGTGACAAACTAACCCGTTTCTTGATGGTATAATTGTTTGCATTCTGTTCTTTAGGACATATGTACCTTGAGTGTGTGTGTGCATCTGAGTATGCCAAATAATGTCAGCGCCCTGTATGAACTTTTCTTTTTCTTTTTTCTTTTTTAGCTTTTATATTGAAGACTGAATTGATTTTTTGCTGCAGGAACAGCGCTGACAAGCAGGAGAAAGGTCTCTGCGTTCAGATGCTCAGTTGTGTATTTGAGGATGTATAAACTGATAGAGGCAGCTCCTTGGGTTGTTATTTAAACACATTTCCTCTATAAACTTTGAGCAGACTCACCGACCTCTCCGAGACTGACTCAGACCTCACCTTGAACTTATTTAAAGTGACTTTTTATGTCACGTTAATAGCCTAAAAAACAGACTTTGCGCCCTTGTTAGGTGATGCAGTACTGCCATGGAAACACAGGATGCAAACATCCTGCAAGATGGAGGTAAATCAAAGTCTCCTGCATGATCTGGAACATAAAAATAAAAAGCCCTCATATATCTACAGGCTCATTCCATACATACTGATAAACAGCAAAGTGTGCAGGCCTGATTGGACACGCCTGGTGTGTGGGCGGGACCGTGTGCCGCCATCAGCATGCTACTCATGAATTATTAATGATGCGTGAATATTCATCGCATGCAATACACCGCCCGTTGGAATATTACATGAGAGGTTGAGACGGAGACTCTCGCACTGATTGATGACTGTGATGATACAGCTGTGTCATACAGGGATGTCACACATGTAGAGTTTGAGAGCTGCAGCTGGGGCCGTGAAGCCATTAATTCAAACAGATATGCAGAGTGAAGAGGGGTAAAGTATGCACAAACACAAACACACACACACATACACACACACATCCCTCCTGGATGTCTGCTCCTGATACAAGTGCAAAAGAGAGATTTCACCAAATAGAGCCCCTAAAGTGAAGTTTCTTCCGTCCTGGCTGCACAGAATCCAAGCCTGCATGGTCTTATCAACCAATAAAGATGCTTTTTTTTTTTTTTTTTTCCAATATGAGACACAATATGCGTGAGTAACCAGGTGCTGTCAACATAAAACACACCTGCAGGGGAGATCCACCTTAATAAACCCTGCTAAAAGTCGCATTTCCTCTCTTTTTGGGGATGTAAAAGGTTTTCCTTAGGATGTCACCAAACTAAATTACGCACAACAGGGTCGCATGTAGCAGACTGTGTTATCACTGACAGAGCAGGAATGTTGCTGTTAACTTTTAATGTTTTAATTAGAAGACCCGGCGGCCCGGTCGGTGGAGGGAGACTGTGCGCGCTGCACCGCCGCGCTCCTCCAGACAAGCGTCACGGTTTGTAACGTCGTCTGAATCTTTGAGAAAAGTGCGCCGTGGTTGGCGTGTTGCTACAGGTTGCCTCCGGCAGGGAGAACGGGACAGTCCCGCGATCTTCCATGAAACTACAAAGCGGAGCCCGTGAAGGTGCTCGTGGGTGCCCGTCGTTAAAAAAAAAAAAAAAAAAAAAAGTGCCATAAAAAGCTCAGGAAAGGTGCAGAAGTGTCCCAATTACGCGGGTATTACGTTCAGTGCAACATAAACGGAGATGGTAGCGGGATTATTAATAGAGCAGAAGGATTGAAGCACTTGTTATAAAGCAGCCTCTCTATTTATAAACCGTATTCGGTGCTCGCTGGGAGAGCCGGTCGGTGGTGTCCCGGCGCCGGCTGAGTGAGAGCGGGCAGGTCTCTCGGCTTCTTCTTCTTCATGCGGGGATATCTCGCAGTTAGGAAGCTTTAAATGTGTGCAAAAAAAGAAAGAAAGAAAGAAAGAAGTGGGGGGAACGCACTTACCGCAGAGTCGGATTGCTGCACCGCGACGCACAGGGCGAAGAAGAGCAGAGGCACGGCGAGCTGTCGCAGGCTCTTCAAGTCTTTATTCATCTTGGGGGGAATAAAACAAGGGTCCGCCTGCTTTAACACTCACAAACTCTACGGCTCTCTACTCGCATGTCATAGCCCTGCTTTCCCCCCCACCCAGCACACTTGCCCTCAAATGAAATAGAAATAATAAGAAAAAGACTTCTTCTCGGCGAGTCGGCTGTTGTTGCGCTTGCAGAGGCTCCTAGTGGTCCTGGCTCTGGCACCGTGCGCCTCTGCAGTCCCCCTCACTAAACTTTTTCTCTCCTCGACTTGCAAACCTGCCCTGCCGGATCTACTTCCTACAACCCAGGGCGCACTCATCAGCCCCCTGCACCTACACAGAGACAGACTATTCACCCTAAATCTATTCACTTTATGGATGACTTGCACCTTAAAAGTTGGTCCCGAAGAGAGGATCAATGTGCGCCAGCCTCAGTCTGGATCAAGATTCGCTTCTACTGTTTTAAATTCTCCTCCAATTAAAAAGAATTTGACAATGTTAGGACCTCGCGAGGCGCGGAGGGATATGGCCCCGTCCTCCTGCGTGCCTACCCAATCCTGAGGCTGCACAAAAAAGAAGTTTTGACATTAAACCTTTATTTGACATTTTCTATATGCCCGGACATGTTGCATTCCTGACAGATTATTAAAGGTCAAATTCTCCGTTTTTACTACTGACAGAGGGATGCTTCTGGCAGAATGGAACAAAGTGAAATAAACTTGTTTTTAAATAAAGTACATCATCCCCTCCTTCTCATTTTACTGTTACACTCTTTCAGTTGTGGTGTGAGGCAAGAGAGTATAATCAAACTTAAAGGATGAAATTATAAAAACTCCCTAAAACACATAAAACTGATATATGAGTGGCAGATGTTTTTTTTTCTTTTTCTTATAGCCTGATTTTATTGTGAAGTATTTATTGTCAATAGTAATAAGTCCTGAAAGCACTAAATCATCTTAAATGCAGATGACGTTCTTAATGGGGACTGATAGTAGTAAAGTAACCAGGGAGTTAATGATCATTGATCTGTTTTACAAGCTTCACTCTCAACATGAAATTTCACTTGTTTTAGCTCTTTTTCGAGTGGGCTTACACACTTTTCTTATCGTATTCGGAGCCAGTTGCAGAGCAGAGTTTTTAACACTAAGCAAGAGTGTAACACTGAGTATCTCAAAAACTACTGAGTAGGTTTTGATGAAGTTTCGAATTTGTTCTTTTAGGCTCTAAGAGGAGTTGGAATAAGTTACTTTTGCACGTTAGAATTATGAGTAACCACCACAAATCTGAAAAGAAAGTCATACTATGTCTTATGGGAAACTTATATATAATATTTGTATGTAATATGTTGGATTAGGAGTGACTTTATTTGTCTCCTGCATCTTTTCTATCTTTGCATTCATGACCACAATGAAAATTAGACTTGGACTTTATTGTATTGTTCTTGACATCTTTTGCAATTCTGTGTATATTTGACGTTCTTCTCATAATGTCGAATAAACTAGAACTTAAACTAAACAGCCAGTTCCCAGTTTCTTAAACTAATGTGGTCCAATACAACAGTTGGTGGAGGCTATAATGTTCAGTTTTTGCTGTGAAACCGTTTTTAAGAAGTCATTTTGATGTATTGCGTTATATGGACAGTTGTTTCTGCTATTTTGTCCACCCCATTTATATCAGTGAAGAATCGTGTCTCCATTTGTCACTTCATAATTGGTTAGAGACAAGACCTGGCAACTCTTTGGATGTTTTTGTACACCTTATAAAATGAAAAACAGTGTAACCTTCTGACATGTCCAGGTAGTTTTTAGTGGGACATTTTCAAAGATGATCACAAATTCAGTGTCAAGTTATGTTTCAGAAAGTTTTGAGTTTTGTCGGTTCAGACTATTTCTGCAAGGTTAGGTTGTGTGCATGGGGGGGAGTAAAAATCCATTTAACGTTCCTCCAATGATAAAAACTCTTATTATAATGGGCTTAGGGTAAGCGGTAGAGATAGAGTAAGTAATATACTACCACATGCAGCAATGACAATAGATAATATACCTTCCAATTCCTGTCAAAATGCAAAACTACATAGGTCCCAGGAAGGATCCCTGCGGTATACCGTGGCTAACAATAAACTGCTGACAAGAACAAAGATGCTTAAATCAAAGAGATATTGTATAATTCAACATGCAGGAACATGAGCCTACCTGCAACAAAATATATTAGTCAATAAATTAACATGTTGTAAACAGTGGTGAAGGCTCACTCAGGTCAAGTAGAACTAAAATAGAACATTCAAGAGCTAAAAGAGGACTGTTTGCAACTTGAGTAACTCAGTGTCTGCACAATGTTAAGAGCCGAGATCAGAAGTGTTCAAACAAAGTTTTTAATTTGACCTCATACTCAAGATATGAAAACACATGGAGATGGTAATCCCGGTAGATATTTGCAGGATCATTTAAAAAAAAAAAAGTTTAAAGAATAAATATTTGTAAGTTTATTGCAAATGTGTGATAATTGACAGAAATGTCATGCGGCCACAGGAGATTAAATAAAAGTTACAGTTTAGTTCCACACTTAATGTCCTCAGGGCTACTTTATTGATTATATGGGTTCTAATGTTTCATCAAGTTGGCTATAAGGTCAATTTAAATGTCAGTAATTATTTAAAAACTATATTATGTTGATATTACATGGGATTAAGAAAAGAATAAATATAAAAAAATGTTAATATTGGTTTCTGTAAAATCACAATTGAGCGTTATAGACATAAAGGTATTTGTAATATCTTTAATATCGAAATATTTTAAATATATTTTTTGCGTTTTTAAAACCAAACAGAGACTTCCTCGGGATAGAACCGTCTCCTCTGCTGCACTCCACAGTTTGAAGAGGTTACGGTCTGTGTGAGTGGGTAAAATCTCCTGTTGTAGCCAAAGGTATGGAGGCATGAATGACATGTGTTGGCCCCTCCTCTCCTGCTGCTGTGGTGCGCTGCAGAGTTGAAGCGCAACAACCCGGAGAGCGCAGCAGCAGCGACTTCACCGCTGCAACTTTGGTGAGTTGGATAAAGCTCCCGTTTAATGAAAGAAATCACCCAGAAAGAGGCTTTCCCTTGCTGGTTGTGTTTTAACGCTTGAAGCTGTGTGTGTGTGTGTGTGTGTGTGTGTGTGGAGGCGGTTTGTGTTTGGCGGTGGGACTACTTTATCTCTCTCTCCTTCTCTCTGTCTCCGGGTAGATGACAGGGTTTTTTTTGGAGCCGTCGATGAGCGCGTTTGAAGTGCCTTGCTGGTGAAGACAAGGGAGTCGAGTCTCGACCTGCGGTTCCCCCTCTACCAGTCGGATCAGAATGAATCTCCTGTAAGCAATTTTCCTCTTAAAAATCACGCTCCAAACTAATTTAGTCAAAGTTAGTTTTCGGGCTTCGCATGCAGCCCGAAGCGGTGGTCGAGGCTGTGGGTCTCCATATGAGCGCTGCTCCGCCGCAGTTTATCTACCACATAATAACTGGGGGAAAAACACACTCATCAAAGTATTTGTTTCTCTTATAGGATTTGTGTGATAGCAGTCGCCTTGGCGGTGGGATCTACGCACGGAGTAAGTCCCATTTGTTTACTATTACACTCCTTCAGGTGAAGAGGCTCTCCACTCGGTTTATTCAGAGCACCGATACAGCATAAACCATGAAGCTGAATATGTTTGTTTTTGTTGCATTTTGACTGTGTAATGTGATGGAGTTGGTCGTTTTCATGCGCGTAAATGGCTCAGCTGAGCCAATGTGACCAAACGGTGGAGTCCACTCTGCTTGGAGAAACTATAAAAGATACGATATAATACTCCAGCGTCTGGTTGCTGCATTAATTATATGTTTATAAAGTGACTTTCATGCGTGTGTTACCCACAGCTGAGACCTGCACTCTGCACTGTAGTCCTCCATGCGTCACGCTGTGGGTGCCTTCAGCCTGCCGCATGAGGAGACACATTTATAAATATTTCTTATGCTCTCTCTAGTGCTTAAAGGACACCCCCAGTCCGTGTTTTGTTGTACTTTCTACTCTCATTTCATAGATGAAACTTCCAGGTGCGTTCAGTGGTCCACCATTTGTGCCAAACTCCCTCTTAAACTATGAGGGTCATATTTTTTTTTTTAGAGCGTTGGTGTGAAGTTTGCATTTATAAGTAGCCCGAGGGACTGAAAAAAAGCCGTTCATATTTGAGTGGGCCCGCTCAGAGTCATTTGCAATTCAGACCCCGCCCCGCTGATGAATATTTAGGATAAGGAGAATATTGGGGCAACTTTTTTTTTTCCCCAAGCCACACCTATTGCAAGACTTCCTACTGCTGAGGGCCACATCTGCTGCAGCCAGAGAGTGCAAGCAGACAGGGCTCATCTGCTTTCTTCACGCCACTCAGAAGACACAACTTTTATGTTCTAGCCTGTTAGAGCATTTTAAAGTGCTGTAAATCAGTTTTTCTTACTTTCTAATTATTATTTGTTGCTTTCTATCATGTGGAGTTTTTTACTCAAATCTAACTTTTAAGATAAGCCACCGGCCACAATGCAGTAACTGCGGATTCATACATGAATTCATTGATTAGTACAGTGGAAAATGAACCCATGTATCTCTAAATGTAGAATTTTGGTAACGCTTTAACCTATAGCATTTATAAGGTTTATAATGCAGTTGTACGCAGAAAAAATAGCATTTTTAGTGTTTGTTCATCTCATATGAAGCCATCTTTTATAGTATTTCTGTGTTTTACTATTACTGTCTTCCATGATCTGTTTACATGGATTGTAGTTGTGGACAAATACACCAATAACACTTATATCAGCTCACAGCTACATTACAGTGTGCTATAAAGGATTTATGAAAGTTAGTGCATTGGATCATCTGGAGAAGAAATTGTAACAAAGCTGGAAACATCTGTTTTTTTCTCAGCTCATGAAATTTGACAGTTTGGAGACACACACATGGTTCTAACAATTTCCTATCCAGGAGATCCTGGAGGAGAACATCGACTAAATTAATAGAGGAAGGTTAAAATAAACTTTATTGTGACAACTTAAAGTGACTCGTGGGTCAGGTTAAGTTGTGAAGACGAGGGTCAATGTAACACTACACCCTTCACCTCCTGTATTAGAATAAGAAAGAGCAGTGGTGTTTGATGGTGTCATTCAGACTGATAGGGGGCAACATGGCTTCTTTCTTGTTAGTTTGGCAGGACCTCTGTGGTTGGAGGAATCAAAAGTGTGAGCTGTATCTCTATAATATGTCCACAGCATTTATCTGATGTTGGGTGAAAGCTTCCAAAACTTCAATTTCACTTTTTTTAGAACTCTTTAAACCCTTTATGAGCTCATGGGATTGTCATCCAGTGGTGACAGAATACCGTTTCATTCAAGTGTTAGACAATCAGAGGTGAAGAAGTATTCAAAGTAGCAATACCTCAATATAAAAATACTTCATTACAAGTAAAAGTCTAGCATTCAGAAGTATTATTGCCGAAATATACTTAAAGTACTGAAAGTAAAAATACACATTATGCAGAAAAGTGTCGGGTTTTTCTATATATTATAATTTGCTTTAATATGTAAGTAGTATATTGCTGTGGTTCGTCGAGTCAGTGCTAATATTTATGACTTTATATATTAGCTGGTGGTTAAATCTATAACAGTGCACCATATTGGAGTACCATAAGTTGATAAAATCTTAAGTAACTAGTACTTAAAGTAAGTAAAGTGGAGAAAAAAGTAATTTTTTAGTCAGAAATGGGCTGGAGTAGAAGTAAAAAGTCTGATGATAAGTACTTGAGTAAATGTACTTAGTTACATTCCACAGCTGCTTAAAATATCAGTCTTGCATGCAAGCACACGTGGGCTTAAATCATCCTCAACCCTGGGGCTGAACTTTATCATAGAGGGACTCAAGCGTAGCAGTGTTAGTGCCTTGCTCCGCCAGCTGAGCGGCAGGTTGTCGTCGGCTGTGACAGAGACGCTGACGGTGAACATTAAAGCGAATCAGCAGCCAAAAGCTTCCTGTGTCTCAATGGGACTCGGCTGATGGAGCTGCATTGACTTTGAATTGACTCCTCCACCCACTTCCCACCTCCCCGTTGTTTTGTGTTGTATATGCGTGCGTGTGGGTGACTGGGTGGCTGAGTGGACGGATACGTGTGTGTGTGTGTGTGTGTGTGTGGGGTTGAGTGACTGACAGATGAGTTCATTGGGTGGTCTGGGCTGCCGTAACCTTGGTAACTGGGTCTTTGGTTGGGTATTGCTGTGGTGCGGCGGCGGTCCAGCCCAGGCTGAGTCAAGATGTGAAGCTCTTCTCCTATCTGTGCTACCGTACACTGATAGCAAAAGAAAGGTCTGTATCTGGAGTTATCAGTGTCATCAGATAAAACTAAACACGCTTCTTTATCTCTCAGTGGAAATATTGAAGCTTACTAGATGACACAGCGATGGCATTGTAGCGAGCACGAGATAAGATCTGGGTAACTTTGTTTGTAACTCACAGACATAAAGACGATTCGTTTTTAGACTATCTGCAAACAACCCCTTGAGTGCTGTATAAATGTCCTTAATACAGGAAAGCCAGGCCATACACTGTAATAATATATCTTACAGTTCATACTGGCTCTTGTCTTCCATGAAATTTGCTCCAGAAGTTTGCATACAGACTCGTAGGCCTAATTTTAGTTGCAGCTAAACAGAATTAGCATTAAGCAGCAGCTCTCATTGGAATTATACTGTATGTATATATATATATATATATATATATATATATATATATACAGTCAATCATGCTTTAGTTGCCACTAGTGGAAATTGGAGGGAAAACAAATGTTGTTTTCTGTTTTGTAGACACAAAAAAACGTAAAGAAATAGGAATTAAAATGGAATCTGAAATAATATGTTAACATATTTTATGTAGTTTAAAAATATGAACATTAACCATACTTCTTAGGCGTGTACAGTTACAGTGTACAGTGTTAGTTGAAAGGACGCTAGCCTGGTCTTGGCAAGTAGTGGCGTATTGTTTATCGTGCTAACTCGCGAGTTTGCTTGCTAGTTCTGACGCTAAAGACTAACTGAGCAAACTCTCTTTTCAAGCTACAAATTTACTGAACCACGTCAACCTACTGTACATTTAGATATAGGTGTGTGTTTTTAGCATTATTTTTTATCATTAGTAATCAAACCCCCACCACAATTCTTTCAGTCGGCTCACTTTATAGCTTGGTTATTGTATTTATAGATAGTTTTAATGTTAGCCTCAGTGCTAGTCTTGACCACTGGGACATCAATGATACAACCTTTTGTTGGAAAACTATGTTTTAGTGAACATACTGCGAGAGAAAAACCTTTCGGAGCTGCTCCGGAGTGTCTGTAAGGGCTGACACAGCTGTTGGCACAGGCAAAACATCACACACAGGTGAGGAGGAAAAGTGAGGAGAGGGGAGGAGGCATGACGGGAAGGAGAGGAGGCAGTCAAAGGTTGGAGTGTTAGGAAATCATCCAGAAATGTATTCTATTACATTCGTTTAGCCCCAGTTGGCATGCAAGATGGATGGGTTGTACATATTAGTACATACTGTTTAATCTTTGCAGAGGAAGGAGATTTTTGTAAATTGAGGCTTGTTTTGATGTACTCTGAGATTTCTTCTGGCAGTAGTTGTTGTCATTTTGCAGAATAGAAATAATGCTGTTGGGTTTTTCATGACATTTTGAATGTTTGCTATGCAGTTTTGCACATTTGGAACCAGCTAATTTGGACATTTTATCTTGAAAAATGAATGCAATTTGCAGCATATGGGCTCTAACATACAAATATGTATGTAATTTATAGTCATACAAAGTGACTTCAGTGCATTTGTGGAATACAAACGATAAACGTGAGGGAGATTTCTGAGCATATCTGCATACTTCCTTTGTAGTTTTATTAATATTTGGTTTTCCTAACATGGTCACTTTGTTAAAATGGCATTTAACTTAAGGTTGATCTGTGTTCCAGTGTTCAACATTAGTGATATTAAAGGTACCAGAGGTAGTTTTGCTGCAAAAATGATGCTGAAAACTTGCAGAGTTTCATGGTACAAACTGCAGGGACAACCATTTACTCCCCCTCTCCCCTCCCCTCCCCTCCCCTCCTCTCTCCCTCCCTCCATTGAATTCCTCCAGAGCTTGGCAGGACTTGTCAGGCTGTCTCCCACTCCCTGCAGGTGCTATAGGCTGGAACATTCCAGAAACACTAAGTGAGGCGACTGATCGCTGCTTGATTTGTGGTCGCTAGACCCTTCCCAACTCAACTGAGTCCCCCCACCTCCTCCTTCCTTTCCCCTGCCGCCCTCCTCCTCCCTCCCTCATCCGATCATTATCCCCCTCAGACCCCCTTTTCCTATCACTTTTTGCCCTCGCTGCTTCCACAAGTCAGGCAATCCATTACCAGTTGATTTGTGGTTTGATTTGCGAGTGGTGCTCCCCCCCACAACCTCCTCACCCTTCCTGTGGTATAACAGGCCAATTTATTATTTCTTTCTTCATTATTTGCATATAAGCTTCCACTCTTTCTGTCTCCTAAATTTTCTTAATT